CCTTTTCTCCCAATTTTCAGAAATATTGCTCAAGTGAAAATTCTAAGAATCCGTTCACAGGTGCACAACAACCTGACTGATCAGAGTTGCTCTGAATTAGGCCATCAGCGTCACATGACACGTGCTGTGGCTCTCTGTGTACCTCTGTTTAGGAAAAAGAGGCTCTGTCTCTGTCTTATCGCACAGATGCTTCTGAATTACATCAGGGCTACTGTTCAAATCGCATCTTAAAAATTGTTTTCGAAATCCAAGGAAACAGTTTTCAAGATCTCTCCTCCAACCAACTTAGACCAACCCCCTCCTGCTTAATTAATTCCCTAATAATATTTGAGCCTTTCATCTCGCCCATATAGTACCCAAAGTGCTGAGATTATCTCTATTAGCAGCTTGCCAGGCGTCCATGCACCTTTAGAAACTCTCACAGCCCGTCTGCCAGCACATCCAATCACAGGCTGGCCTTCTACGGTTTCCTGGGAAACCAACACACAACGCTATTTCATTATCACACAGGAAACTTAAAAAGAAGACCCTGCAGTGTTTCCTTTGTGTCAATAATTCTAAATCACTAAAATACATCCTCATGAAAAAATAATAATGTCATATAAACAATAAGCAGGGCAGGCAGCAGAAGGACGAATGGCATTTTAATTCAGTGCCTTCTTGTGAAGGCAGAGGCAAGACCTGAGCAGGAGCCAGGAGGCCCCGCCCCCGCCCCCGCCCTCGTGTGTCATAAGACCTGGGTACGCTCTCACTCTCCCTACATGAACAGGAAGAAGCTAAAGGAGCAGCTCTTAGTCTCTCCTCTCCTTTCTGCACGATGGTTATCAAAACCATCTCTCACAGTGGCTTTTGGGACCACTCGGCTGGACCTGCAGCCCTGCTGCTCAAGGCTGCCAGCCGCCCAGCTTGGTCCCCACATGAAGCCCTCTGCTCTTCAGATGCAGTGGGAAAAATCCCAGGGCAGGTTCTGACTGGCTCAGCTCAAGCCGCACGCCCACCCATTAGCCAGTCACTGCTTTCTGAGGGTCGAGCCCTTCAGCCCATGTCACAGGGAAAGGTGGGACAAGGGTCACTTCCTTCAAAGGGTCACACTTCAGACGCAAACACTGGGACATCACTGTGAGCTGGACAGCGGACCCCGACTGTCTCCTGCCAGGGCCTCTTAGTGGCCACATTTGTCACAGGCCTAGAGGACACATAGCTACTAAGGGGTCTCCAGTGAAACTACATTTTGTTAATCACATGGACATACACATGAGTGTGGGACGCGTGATGTGTTCATTCCCAAAGCAGTGCTGGACATACTCTGAGAAGTGCTGGCTCCTGCAGGAACGCAGAGCCCCCTTCCAGGCCGCCCCTCGGTCCCTCGGTGACTGTGAACCCGGCTTCCCCACATCCTGAACAGCTGCAGGAGGGGGGACAAGGGTAGAAAGAGGGGAGAGAAGTGCCCCGGGACACCCCCTGGGTGTGGGACGTGTTTATGAAACGAGTGACCGCCGCATATGATGGCCTTTCCATCACTGGAGAGACCTGGTGTGAGACCCACCCATGGAAGTGTCTCTAACCTTTTATACAGCTGGGGTTGAAGGCGGCCCCGAAGGGTTACTGAGAAGCCTCTGTCTCTGCCACCTGGGCTGCGATGCCAGAGCTGGGTCTGCCCCCACTCTGTCCCCAGCCAGTATGACCCTGACATGGTCACTGCCTCTGTGGGCCTCCATTCTCTCCAACACAAAATGAGATGGAACCCAATCACGACTTCTCACATTCGTCCTCACGTGGTTGGGACGGTGGGTGGGGAGGACCCCAAACACTGAAGGGTGAAATCTTGAATCTTAACGTTCAGTCTTCAGCTCATCATAAACCCTGACCCCGTCTGTGAAACCAGGAGCCATATTGCTGTCGTCCAATCCTGAACATTCCGTGAATTCCTCGTGAGGAAAGAGGGCTTCGGTGTCTTCCTTCCCCTGAGCTTCAGGAAATTTAGAACCAAAATCAGTGTCTGAAGAAGTGACAGACCCAACTCAGGGACTGATAACAGATTCCTCAGCTTCTCTCCACGAGCTCTGACCTCCTTTCTCTGAGTTTACACAGAGCTTGGCCTCGTAAGCCCCTCAAGGCCTCTAGAAAACAGATGAAGATGAATCTTAACCACCCGCCACCCATGCAGGTGCCTGACCTCTTATCTGAAAAAGATGCACTTTCGAGAACTGCGCGTTTCTCAGGTTGGGGCTGAGTCCCGTATCGGGTCACATCCCCAGCGGGGCCGGGGGGCACTCTCGCGGAACCCACTCGTGTTTCTGCAGCAACCCCTGAGGACATCCACACCGGACGGCCTCCCAGCAGTTCAGCTCGGGGTCCGCGGCACTTGAGCTCGACGCAGGTCAGGCTCTGCCTCCAAACAAGTTGCAAAAACAGCCTTTGGTTTTCAGTGCATCATGGGCTTGGGACTGACGTCTAGGGGGTGGTGAGCCTGTTCAGCTGCTGTGCAGGAGGGGCTTGGGGCCAGGAACCCCGAGGCCTGGGTGGCCAGGCTCAGGGGAGGCTCCCACGCCGCCCAGGGCCCACACAGCCCTTTTTCATCCATAAGCCGGAATCCTCACTCCCACCTCGCAGGGTCATGGTGCAGCGACAGAGGTGGCACGAGGCTACTCTGTTGTGAGCAGTGTCCACAGGAAAGAAGCCTGTGCTGCCTCTCGGCATCGCTGTCCAGTGATGGAGGAGCTGTCCTCCACCTCTGGCATGTGTTGGGAGGGCGTTTTTGTCAGCCCCCGTTTCCAGGAGCTCTGCCTCAGCCATGTATGATGTCACAACACAGATGGTTTACATTTAACGTCCTGAGAATTCCCAGATCTGTGACTCACCGTTGCTACTTTATGTAAATATTCCATTTAGAGCAAGGGTTTCAGTCTGTGTCTGAAAAACCCCAGAAGTCTCTGGCTCCACCATATGTACACGAGGGCCGTCTGCACAGCCAACAGGCCGCCCGCTCTCACAGCACAGAATGCTGCTCCCCAGGTGAAGGCCGGAAGGCGACCGTCCCCTTCTCCCCTGCCCGCACCCCAGCCTGGCCACTGCTCAGAATCCTCCCAGAGCCTCCAGGGAATACACGTTCCAGGGCCCCATCCCAGACCCACCGAGTCAGGAGAGCAGAGCGGGAGCCGCCGCCCAGGAAGCTGTGCTCTTCCAAGACTTCCCCGGAGATTCTGAGCCAGCATTAGGCAGCCAGCACTCAGTCCTTTATACCACCCAGGCCTCCGTCACCCTGCGGGGAGAGGAAAAAGGGCAGGTGTGACTGAACCCTTGACGGCTCGGCCCTGGAGCCCAGCGGGGAGGCGCCCTGCCCGTGGGCGGCTGGAGTGTGAGGGACCAGCCAGTCACCCGCCCACTGCCCACGGCGACCTTCACCTGGCAGGGTGCCCCGCGAGGGGAGGGGCTTTACTCGGCGACGATTCCTGTCCCCTCCCTGAACTTGAAAGGCCGGAAGCCACCGTGCCTGCAGACCCATTTTTGGCACATGGAAGGTGGCCTCTGTGAGGTCCGGGGTAGCAGGCGTGGGGAGGAACCCCTGTGCTTTCAGGGTCTGGGGAGCGTCTTGGGTGCGGGTCCTCACAGCAGAGCCCGGCCAGCCTGGGTACCATCCCCACCCACCAGGGGGCAGGAAGCTCCCAGGAGTCAGGGGAGGGGCCCCGGGACCGCCTGGCAGGTCTGGGACAGGGGAACCGGGAGCCCTCCCTGCTCTGGGAAAACACTTCGGCCTCCACTGTCTGGATCAGCCGACCTTCCAGCACTGAAAATCCACTCCCAAGACCACACAGTACACGGCACAGAGTTTTACTTCAAGAAAATGAACATAGAAACGGTGTGGGCTAAATGCTCTTACTAGGAACTGCTGCTTTGTTTTGTAGAAAGAAAAGGGGGGAAAGACCCTCAGAGGGACGGATCTTGAGCCGTCAATGGGTGGCCCACTTCCTCCACCAGCTGCTCGGGGGCCGCATGGTGAGGGGTCAGGTCCCTCAGTGCCTGGAGAGGGAGGGGCCCGTAGCACTTCAGACACCACGACACCACGTTCATTTACGGTGTCCTTTCTTGGCAACCTCCCCTCGGAGATCGGCATGGACGTGACATTCCCTGGAAATGTGTGTCCCATGAAGGACAGACCTCCTCCTCACCCCCTCTCAAGCTCAGGATGGGATCCCATTGGTCTGTGGGAGCCTGCGTCACGGTCTTGGGCAGGCTATGGCCCCTAGGCCTTCCACATTCCCGTGCTCTTCTGTACTCTGCACTGCGAGGATACACACCATCCCCTTGAGGCTGTGTAGACCTCTCCTGGGTGGGAGATGGAGTGTAGACCTCTCCTGGGTGGGAGATGGGGTGTAGACCTCTCCTGGGTGGGAGATGGGGTGTAGACCTCTCCTGGGTGGGAGATGGGGTGTAGACCTCACCTGGGTGGGAGATGGGGTGTAGACCTCTCCTGGGTGGGAGATGGGGTGTAGACCTCTCCTGGGTGGGAGATGGGGTGTAGACCTCTCCTGGGTGGGAAATGGAGTGTAGACCTCTCCTTGGGCAGGAGATGGGGTGTAGACCTCTCCTGGAGCACGAGTGCAATGCAGACCCTCCGGGGACGGGCTCAGGCACAGTGATGGGTTGGGGAGCAGAGGCTCAAGGGCAGTGAGACAGCACATTGCCTGGCTTGGCGCAAGCTCAGCCCGGGTCTCTTGGGGGGTGGTCCGGGGGTTCCGTGCGCGGCTTGTGTGGAGTGTAGGAGGTCTGGGGTGGGGGAAGTGGGAGGAAACAGGTGACCGGCACCATCCCACCGTGGGCGGCCAGTACTGGTCCCCTTCCTGGCCCTTCCTGTTCCCCGCTCAGCCCTGCTGCCCACGGCCACGCTCCCGCATAGCTCCCCCCGTCTGTGACCGCCCCAGTGTCCACGGGCCCCCTGAGCTCCCCCCAGCCCCCCGGCCGCCTGGCTGACGCCTCGCTGTCCATCCGTCTGTCCGCAGGGCACCGAGTCCGAGTCCGAGGACGCGCTCCCCCAGCACTCCTTCGTCAACCACTACCTGAGCGACCCCACCTACTACAACTCGTGGAAGCGGCGCGCGGGCGCGGCCCCGCACAGGTACGAGGCGGTGGCGGGGGCCGAGGCCGGGCCGGCCCCGCGCGCGGTGGTCACCACGCAGAGCGCCGTGTTCGCGCCCGCCGCCCACGGCGCCCGGACTCCGCTCACCGGCTTCTCGTCCTTCGTGTGAGCGGCACCGACCCCGCGGCGACCCTTGTTAAGACAGTCAGCTCCGGGAACTGGGCTCCAGCTTGGGTTTAAGAGGATCTGACGCCTGATGATTGATTTTACCCACTTGCGAACGCGAGATTGCAATTAGGAAAGTTTTTTTTTACTGGCTTTTTGTAACATCGCTGCAGGAAGCGGGTTTCTTTTGTTTTTCTTTTCTTTTTACGAGAAGGTGTGTTTCACTGGTGCAAGGGCTCGTCACCCCGACCTGGGAAGACCTGAGCCCTCGGGACCCGGGCTTCTCCATTCTGCGCCGACTAGGAAGGCTGGGGGGTGGGAGACGGGGGTCCAGGGAGGCCGCGCCTCTTGCAGGCCGCTCCCTTCTCTTCTCTAACCCCTGCCTGAGAACCAGCGGCCCGCCTGGGGCTCCATCCCACCGTCTCCGTCTCCGGCGTGCGAAGAGCATGTGTGTGACCCAGGCTCAGGGCCTCCGGACCCAAGGGCGTCCACCTCTGAAATGTTCTCACTCGGCAGTTTGTAGGCGAGGAATCGGCTTTAAGGTTCCAGGCTGCGGGGCCACAGATTCCAAGGTTCCGTTCGGCGTCCTTCCAGGGGTGAAATATTCGGGGCTCCCCCTTCCTTTCTTCCTTTCGACCTCGCAGCACAGGAGCAGGAAGCACCCCTGCTGGGAGCCACCGCCGTGGCCCTCGGCAAGCTCGCTCCTTCCCTGACAGCACAGCACACGGCCAGCCCGCCAACCCGAGCGAGCGAGGCAGCGGCTGCAGAATCGCTCGCTGTGTTACGAGGTGTGCATTGTTAACCAGAGTATTTTTAAAATCTTTTTATCTTTTTTTAAAATATGTCATATGAAATGAATGAGTCTCAGCTGTCTCCAGGTGCCTTTTTATTAATTGTTTAGCTTTGTACATGGGAAAGACGAAGAGCGACAGTGTCTCCAAGTATAGCAAAACGGCTCTGAGAAGACGGGGTCCCCAGCCCCTCCCCCCGCCCCCCGTGCCTGCCAGGCCCTGCCGTGCGCGTGGCCCGCGGCTTTCCTTGGAGCGCGCGCGGCCTGGGGCCTCCGGGTTCCCGCCGATGCCATGACTGGTGTGGCTGTCCCTTTCCCGACCCCAGGCCAGCTCTTAGCCTTAATGGATTTTCTGGAAACCGTTTTTTACTTTAATTGTTACTGTTTTGTTTTCGTTTCTTAGTTAAATGGAAATAGCGTGAACTATTTTGAAACTCCAAACCGTAGCTCTGCCTCTAGCCCATCACATCATTTTTTGCAAAAGGTGTGTGAGGTACACGTGGTCAAGCCGTGGTCCCAGGGCCAGATGTACCGGGAGCGCTGCTGCTGTCAGCGGGGGGTGTGCCCCACCCCTCCGGGGGGGGCACTGCAGAAGGACCCTGCCGCCGGCAGCCCGGTCAGCCGGAGCCTGTCCACACCCCCCAGGGCACAGGACGGGCCTGCAGGTCCCCAAGGGGGGAAGGGCTGGGCCAGCCACCCACGCCACGGGGAGCCAGTCTCGTGGCCACCCGCGGGTCACGTGGTCTGCGGGGTCCCTTCTTCCCACGCCTCCTCCGGGCAGAGGGCTGTCTTAACCCTCTGATTTCAGAGTTGCTGGGTGCGGTATCCCCAGGAGACCAAGGAGAGTTTGTGTTGCTGAAAAAAGGCCTCTTCTGTTTGAGAGTTTGTGTTGGGTAAAAAAAACCCTTTCAGTTTCTCTAAAAGTAGAAGTAGGAGGTGTGGAAAGGTTCCTTTCTCTCTCTCCTCCTCCTTCCTTCTCTCTTTTCTTCTTCCCTTCCTTCCTTCCTACCTCCCTCCCTCCCTCCGTTCCTTCCTTCCTTTTCTGTGTAGAGGGGACACGTTCTAAACCAAAAATCCTAGACGCTCTGCCCAAAGGCTCTCCTGCATGAGAATCGCTCCCTGGACGGGACCCACCCAGGGCACAGGACCAGCCACCTCGGTCCTCTCGGTCCCAGACGGGGAAGTGGACAGGAAGCCCCAAGGCTGCAGCTCGAATTTCTCGGAAGACAAGCGACGGACAGAGAACGTGGAGAAACGCTGCCTTCCGCGCTCTGCTCTCTAAGCCATACGTCCACTGCTTCATATACGGGAAAGTGCTGAAACGTCCTGGCGTGGGGACGGCTTGGTTTGAGGCGTGTTTTTGGCTTTGGGGCTTTTGTGACAACATGACGCCTTTTTCCCCAGGGTCATTATACTTCTTGTGTTCTCTCTGCTCTGAGCGAACTTCTTTGGGACGGAACAGGCAGTCCGAGGCGGCGGTGGGCATTGGCGTCCGCACTCCGCCCAGTGGCACCGGCACTGTGGGCCGTGGGAGCTACTGGACCAGAGGAAGAGTGGGGTGTCTCTGGTTAGGTTTCAGCCTCCAGGTAGTGTGGGCGTTGAGAAGCGTCGATTCCTAACCTCTCATCTTTAGGGAGGAAAAAAGAAAATCACAGGATAGGAAAATGGATACTGGATTTTAATCTCGGCTCTGAAAAAAAGGACGAGCACCATTTCTCTAACCGAGGCAAGGAGGAGTGTTCTATCCTGGCGCCTTCCAAGCCATGGTGCCCTTCAGGTGTCTCGCGCTCAGCTGTCGCTGAGTCCCCCGACGAAGGCCCCGTGATGGGCAGGCGAGCTGCCCCTTCCGCGTGAGGACCTGCAGCGAAGCAGCCGCAGGGCCGCGCTCTCTGTCTGAGCGGCAGGGATGGGTTTGCGCGGGGCTCCCGTCCCCACTGGGGACTCCGGGCACAGGTTTCCAGACCAGTGAGCGGCCGGGCGGGGCTGTGGGCCGTCCCTGTGGTTAGCGGGCCGCGGGGCACATCTCCTGGACTGCATCTCCTCCTCTGAATAAATGGGTCCAAACCAAGGCCTCCCCTCCTTGGCCATGCTTTCAAGGAGCGCTCGGTAAATGTCGTCGCGGAAGAGACGTGATGTGGGGCAGCTTCGGGGGAGACCGCGGAGGGTGGCGCGCGCTCCGTAAACCCCTTGTGGCGCTGTGCCTGCCCTGGACCGCGACGGGACTGAAGCATGGTGTTTGTATAATGTTTCTAAGGGTTTGTAGCATGGTTTTCCGTTTTTACGAATTCCTGGCACACTGTAGTCCTGGTGCCAGTGAGCGATCGTATCCACGTATCCAGATGCGGCCCTTTGATTCAGCATCCCTGTAGCGGGGACCCTCTGAAAGGTGGGAGCAGGTAGAAATCCAGGAACTGCGCTGGTCTGCTGTGCGTGCCTCACCTACTGGACTATCGGGGGCTTAGGTCAGTCCTGAAGTCTTCCCGGCAATTTCTGGAATTGTGCAGAAACCAGACCTCCTTAAAAAAAAAAAAAAAATTGTAGGAAGACAGGGAGGTGCTATGGGTACGGTTTTTAATAAAAGCATCATTTTGTTCCTTATGCGCCTGTGATTTTCTTCAGCAAGTGTGGATGAAGTGACTCATGAATTCTAGGGCTGTAGGATCGAACATTGAAACATCAGCCCAGTGCCGCGCTGGCCCCTCCTGGAGAGGCAGGTGTGGACGCACAGCGGAGGTGAGGTCAGAGGGGTTCAGTTTTAGATCTCCCGGGGAGAGGCACGCCCGGGGAGCAGCCCGGCCAGGCGGCCAGGGGCCTGAGGCGAGCAGCCTGGGGCCCGCGCACCCCGGCATGGCCAGCAGCCATCCTCAGTAGCAGCCCCCCACCGCCTGGAGTACCCCACAAAGACTCCACAGGTGCCTGGAGGGGAGACTGATCATTGCCAGACTTAGCCTTGACCGGGAGGAGACTGCCCGCTCCGGTGGACCCTCCCCTCCCCTCTCCATGAAGGCCCAGCAGGTTCCGGGAGCCTGAGGCCCTTCCCGCCCCTTCCAGCTGGGCCCGTGTGCCCTGGGGCCAAGGTGCCGTGGGTGCCAGCGTCCAGGAGGGGCGTGGCTTTGCCCTCAGCCTCAGGTCCTCCCAGCCTCAGAGCGCGGCTCTCCACGTGGCGCTTAAAAATCCCAGTGCCCGGCCACACCCAGGCCCAGGAAGACAGAACCTCTGGGGGTTGGGCCCAGGCATCCAATTTTCGGGGGAAACGCTGCCCGAGTGATTCCAGGTACCACCAAGGAGGACATGCGCTGCGAGGACGGGGCCCGGGGGCTGGGTCGAAGGAGGGACAAGGGGGCCTGTGCAAACACTGACAAGCCAGAGGTGAGAACATTTCATTTTCTCTCTGTTCTCCACATTGTCTGCCTACATTCCGCCCCCATAAATATGCACTTAAGGTCAGCCCACGTTGCAGTATTTTGGACACCGCAGCTGCCATGTGAAGGGTACCGTTTCCGGGTGGCGCAGTGCACTCTGCTTTCGTCCATCCACAGGGTCCACCGTGCCCTGTGGGTCTGTCAGGATCCCGTTTTGCAGGCGAGGAAACACGCCCAGGGTGAAGCCATTTGCCCCAGGTGGACACGGGGCAGAGGCAGGGTCCAGACCAAGCAGTCAGGGGCTGCAGAGCAGGTAGAACCGCTGCACGGCCCGCCTTCCCAGAGGGCATCTGCCTTCCCCCAGCTTTCCTCCCGTCGGGGACAGCTGGCCTCGGGGAGGCAGGGCCCCCTGCACACAGCGCAGGGTCCAGCGTGGGGACCACACCTGCACAAAAAGGCACCTGGAGCTCAGAAGTTATTCTCCCCGCCCCCGCCGTGGGTCTTTCCTTTGTTAGTAAAGAGAAAAGGCAGCAGTTCACTTGCGCAATCTGGCCTGTTCTAGGCAAAGCCTGGCCGTTGTTACTGTTACTGTTGTTATTACTGAAAAGTTCATTTAAAAACTTTAGAAATGCAACCAGTGATCACAGAGAAAAGAAATCTCTATTACCTTGTTGGATGACAGATAGATGGACCTCCCCAAGAAGGAAAAATGGCTCGGGGGGGAGCCCTCACTGCACCCAGCCGGCTGGGTGAGCTCAGTGTGACCTCTCCGTTCTCTGCAGGAGGGGAGGGAGCCATCACCTTGATGCCTACACCTTCCTGGGAGAAGCACGTTGTTCCCGGGCTTTGAGTCCCACGGAGCCCAGCCCAGACTGTGGAAGGTGGGCGTCACGGGCTGGTGGGCCCTGCGTCTCCGCGAGGTCGGGTTTCTTCTGGAAGGAGCTGGGGGTCTGGGTCCTCTCCTCCACAGAGAGCCCAGTCCATGAGCAGGTGAAGACCCGGGCATTGCCCTCAGCAGGGCAACTCTGAGACGAGCTGGGCCCCCAGGGCAAGCTCGGGGCTGAGGGGGCCCTAGAACGTGTCTCTCCTGCCCCACGCACCCTCGCTGCTCCTGGGGCGTTGCCTGTCCCCCGAGCGATACTGTTGGGGCAGGACAACCTGCCAGGAGACAGGTGAGCCAAGCGGGGCTGAGAGGGCAGGTGCCCCTCCTGGGAATGAGGCCCCCAAGCAGGGGAAGAAGCAGAGGCGCCTCTGAGGTTCCTCCCGGCTGCAACAGCAGCCTTGCTTCCTGCCAATTCCAGGGCTCCCAACAGCCTCTCAGTAAGTTCCCCTGTTTAACTTAGCTGGAGACCACGCCCCTGCTGGCAGCTGGAGGGGTCCTGGTCCCCAGGCCGAGCTCTGGGCGCCTGTAAGGCCACCCCGGGGGCTCCTGCAGCAACGCCTGGGGGCCCTCAGCCCCAGGGGAGCAGCCACATCCTCGCTGGGCTCAGGAGCAAATCAGAATGGCCTGGTTTCCAGCTGGGACAAAGGGACAGTCCACATTATAGACGGGATGTGCCAGGCGGGCAAGGGCCAGGGCACAGCGAGCTGTGGATGTCGCCTTACGTGTGTTTTCCACAAAACAAGGCATTTCTGGGGGGAAAGCACTCTGTGAAAATCATGAACTACATTTTATCCTTTTTTTTTTTTGATCGATTGATGTTCTTTACTTTTTTTTTTTTACATTCCTGTTTTATAATATTCTTTTCCATTATGGTGTATCAAATACTGAATACTAATACTGAATATAGTTCTCTAGGACCTTGTCGGTTATCCATTCTATATATAAAAGCTTCCATCTGCTCATCCCAACCTCCCACTCCATCCCTCCCCCAACCCCCTCCCCCTTGGCAACCACCAGGCTGTTCTCTATGTCTGTGAATCTGTTTCTGTTTTGTAAAGAAGTTCATTGGTATCATTGTTTTAGATTCCACATATAAGTGATATTATATGGTATTTGTCTTTCTCTGTCTGACTTACTTCACTTAGCATGATAATCTCTAGTTGCATCCATGTCGCTGCGAATGGCATTATCTCATTCTTTTTTACGGCTGAGTAGTATTCCGTTGTATATATGTACCACGTCTTCCTTATCCGTTCCTCTGTTGATGGACATTTAGGTTGCTTGCACGTCTTGGCTGTTGTGAATAGGGCTGCTATGACATAGGGGTGCATGTCTCTTTTTGAATTAGAGTTTTGTCTGGATATATGCCCAGGAGTGGGATTGCTGGATCCTACGGTAGCTCTGTTTTTAGTTTTCATGAACTACTTTTAAATGGCCCAGCCCGAAGTGTCCTCTAAGTCAGCATCGCTGTGCCCACCCACCCAGAACATCAGGTAAATGGTTAACAGGGACCAGTTGCCCCCTGTGTACACGTGCCCCTTCCTCCACCACAGCCGAACCCTTCTCCCCGGACGGAGGCAGTGATTCTCTCTGCCTCCACCAGTGATGATCTCCCAGAGCACCCGCCTGTGGGCACCGGAGACCCCCCAGCACCAAGAACAGGCAGAGCGACGAGGGGCTCTGAGGTTGGTGACGAGGCCTCCCCGGACGTCCCGGGAGAAAACTGAAGTTTGACGTGGTTGTTGCCAATTTCTGTGACATTGGCACGTAAGTTTTAGAGGTTTAGTTTTGTCATGAAATGAAACCATTTTCAGATACTTTATTTGGGAGCCGCAGAAGCTTTTGCAAACCTTCTGATCAACCAGCCTGTTTTCCGAACACGATCGGTTCGCCAGACGCCTATTTTAAAATGATTTGAACATGTCCATGGCTTTGCTCGTACGAGGACCTTAGGGTTTGCCAAAGTCTCTTTCCCTTTAATAGCTGGAGTCAGTTAACAGCCAGCATGGGCGAAAATTCCAAGCTGTTAATTTTGGGCTCTGCAGTCTTAAAAATGTCCTGCTTCTCCTCAGATAAGACAATATTCTGCAGTCGTAAGCAAATAACGACATTATGGGGTTGAATCTAATCCAGACTCAAATATTTTAATTAAAAAATGCAGATTTCTAAGGCATCCTGAAAATGTTTCTGTGGGATTCTCCAACCAGCAAACAGCATAATTGGTCTGCTGACTTGGGGGTCCAGACAGCCCCATGGGGCCCCAAAGGGAGCCCAAGAAGAAACCTGATGGAGCCCCGGAGCCTGTGGGGGATAGTCCTGTACCCCTCTTGGTCTTCGGGAACATTTTTTCGAGAACGTCGAGGGCAGGAAGATTGGGGACTTGCAGCTCCAGAGATGAGGGGTGACAGAAACCAGAAAGAAACCCAGCAAGCCCTCCAGGGGCATCTGTGATGGATAAAGGGGGCCACACAGCCTCGTGGGGACCCCAGCGAGGGGGACCTTGTCTGCATCTCAGGGAGCCCCCCTTTCGTCATCCACCTCAGTGGCGCCCACTCACCCAAGCAGGAAAAGAATCCTGCTACGTCCACACACTGGAGCCTACGCAGCTCTTTCAACAAGATGAAGTTACACACACAGGTGCAAGGCAATCTCCAAGTTATGCCATGCTGTGCAAAAATAAGTGTGCTCCCACCTGTGTGTGTGTTTGCACACGTGCAGATGTGCACATATGCCAGTGCAGAATGTGGAGAGACTGTCTCTGGAAAGATGGACAGGAACTTGGTAACAGTTACCTCTAGAGAGAGGACAAAAATGGGGGGGACCAGGGTGGATTGAGATTAACCTTGGCACCCTCTGTATTTTTCACCAGGTACATATATTATCTTTTCATGTAAAAAAGAGAACAATGGAGCAGTGCTGGAGCTCTGAGTTGACTGGGCCTCTCCCCATCCCCGCTCCCCAGAGCCCATCCTCTCTCTCGGCATCCAGGGCACTGGACGCCAACAGGCATTGAAGACAACGGGCCACTTCCTAGCTGTGTGCTCTTGGGAAACTCACTAATCCTCTCTGTTTTTTTGCTTTTGTTTTTTCCTAATATAACTAGGTTATTTTGAGGCTTAAGTGAAGAATGGGTGGGAAGATGGTTTGCGGACTCCAAAGATATGTTAGGTCGGTTTATTCCTGTGGGCACCACCGCCACCATCTCAGGGCACCTTGAGTGAGAAATGGAGGCCAACCCCAGGATGTGCGAGCCATCCCAGCCTGGCCGCCCAGTGTTCACAGGGGGACCGAAGCAGAAGACAGGCCCAGGCTCCCCACCTCAAGCACGCCATTCCTGCTCGTAGGTATTAGAGAAAAGTAGCCCCGTTCAAAACAGAATTCACTACGCTGGTTTCAGCCAGTTCCCACTAAAACTGAACCGTGGTCAGTGTTTCATTTCGGGGCAACTTACAGTCTTTTGGCCAAGAAATTGTGCCTTGGGTCAGTCCCATCTTCCATTCAGAATCCTGTCTGTACTGG